TCAACAGTTTTCTTGTACATAAATAACAGACTCTTTGAGAGAGAAATTAGGGAAACAATCCCTTTCACAATAGCATCCAAAAAATGAAATATCTAAGAATCAATCTAACAAAAGAGGCAAAAAAAACTCTACAATGAGAAATACTACACTCTGAAAAATGATATTGAAGATGATATCAGAAAATGGAAAGACATCCCTTGTTTCTGGGTAGGAAGAACCAATATAGTGAAAATGGCCATATTTCCAAAACTGCTATACAGATTGAGTGCAATACCTATTGAAATCCCAACAGTGTATTTCACAGAACTAGAGAAAATAATCCAAAAATTCATTTGGAACCAGAACAGACCTAGAATAGCAAAAGCCAATTTAGTCAACAGACACATGACAGGGGGTATCACAATCCCCACCTTGACACTATACTACAAAGCCACTGTGTTTAAAACAGCATAATATTGGACTGGGGATTTAGCTCAGTGCCTACCTTGCAAGCACAAGGTCCCAAGTATGATCTCCAGCAAGAAAAAACAAAACAAAACAAAAAAAAAACAGCATAATACTGGCAAAGAAACAGACCTGAGGATCAGTGGAACTGATTAGAAGATGCAGAAACAACTCCAGACACACTCAGCCACCTCATCTTCAACAAAGGTGCCAACCATCCTCAGTGGAGGAAAGATAGACTCTTTAATAAATCGTGTTGGAAAAACTGGATTTCAACTTGCCAGATTAAAACTGGACCCATATCTTTCACCATGCACTAAACTAAAATCCAAGTGGATTAAATATTTAAATATTGAAACAGAAACATTAAACTTGCTGGAAGATAAGTTAGGTAGAATTCTTGAAGACATTGGCATAGGAAAAGACTTTATGAACAAATCCTCAGTAGCACAGGAACTAGCATAAAGAATCAACAACTGGGATCTCATCTTATTAAAAAGCTTCTTCACTGCAAAAGAAATCACCAACAGAGCTAAGCAACAACCTACAATGTGGTAAAAAATTTTCACCAGCTGCTCCTCAGACAAAGGGTTACTATCTAGAATATATTAAAAATGCAAAAAAATTATGCCCCCTAAATATAAAGACCCAGTTCAAAAAATAAGCATCTGAAATGAACAGACATTTCTCAAAGAAGTAAAAGCAGCAAATAAATATATGAAAAATGTTCAATATCACTGTTCATTCAAGAGATGCAGATGTAAACAACCCTGAGATTCCACCTTGCCCCAGAAAGAATAGCTGCTATTAAGAAATCAGCTAATAACAAATGCTGGTGGGGTTTGGGGTATAGGAACTCTTCTTCATTGTTGGCATGCATGCAGACTGGTGCAACCACTGTGGAAATCAATGTGGAGATACCTTAAACAATTAGGATTGAAAGTTCCATTTTTCCTAGCTATTCCCCTGCTGTGTATTTTCCCAAAAGAATTAAAGAATCATACCACAGTGATATATGCTCAACCATGTTTATAGCAGCACAGTTTCTAATAGCTAAAACTTGGAAACAGCCCATCTGCCCATCAATTGGAGACTGGATAAAGAAGATGTGGTTTTTTTATAAAATGGAGTACTACTCAGCCATAAAGAATGAAAAACTAGAGACATTTGTAGCTAAGTGGATGCACATTGAGGACATACTCTTAAATAAAATTAATAGAACACACATGTGTAAATACCATATATTTTCTCTGGTGTGATAAACTAAAAGAGTAAATAAGGGTCAAAATGTGTAATTGATATTGTATAATAGGAAGAAAAGGTCTAAAGTTGTTGGGGAAATTGGAGGGGTAGGGGAAACATAAGAACGGAAAAGAAAAGGAAAAAATGGAAACAAAGTCTTTGTAAATAGGGAAGGGTGGAGGGGGGTGAAGGGAGGCTAGGGGAATACAGGAAAAATAAGAACCAAGATATGTCATGTAAAGGTATAAGATCTCAATGATGAATGTAACTGTATTGTATACCTAAAATGTACCAATAAAAAAATATATTTTAAAAAATGAAATAAGGAGGGAAATTGTTGTGTTGTGTACTGGCACCAAGTTCCTAGAAGGAATATGATCATAATGTACTACAAATATGTATTAAAATAATATATATATAAATGTATATATTTACATATGAAGGGGTAAAACAGATGCAGGAATGGGAGAGAAAGGGTACTCAAAAAGAAAGAATGAAGACATGGGCTGTAGAAAAAAAAGGATTTAAGTAACTTCATGTACAGGCCGGGGTTCCTGAGTTCGATTCCCAGTACCAAAAAAAAAAGAAAGAAAGAAAGAAAGAAAGAAAGAAATGTCATGTACACGTACCAATGCCCCGCAATGAATGTAAGCATTAGGTACTACAATCATGTACCAATAAAACCCAGAAATGACAATTTTTTAAAATGGATAGTTTTCCCTGGGTCCTTGAGTCTTAATTTTTTTTTTTTTTTGAGACAGGGTCTCAATATGTAGTTGAGACTGACCTGGAACTCACTATGACCAGCCCAGGCTGGCCTCAAACTCACAGCAATCCTTCTGCCTCAGCTTCCTGAGTGCTGGGATTACAGGCATACACTTCCATGCCCAGCAAGAGTCTTAATTTTTGAAGTCTGCTGTACCCTGTAAAACTTTGATTAAATGAAATTTTTATGCTTTTCTCTTGCTAACCAGTCTTTTGTTATAGGGAAGTAGGCCATGACCCTTACAATAATGAAGAAAATGATTATACTTTTCTGTATTTACATAACACAATGTAATCATAATGTAATGTAGTACAATAATATTGAGACATAATATATGGTAAATATACTAAATTACGAAGAATATACCAAAAGTATCAAGTAAAGAGATTCTGTAAGTCTGGATTAGGTCCTACACATCTGTATTTTTATTAAACTCTATAGGTAGGTGAATTGAAAACTACTGGCCTAGATTCAAATTTTTTAAAAAAAGGCCACGGTCAAGTCAACACTTTTAAATTATACTCAGAATTATGGCTAATAATTCTATACTGTTGTCTACTATTATCACACAATTCACCCTAAGGGCTCTGGTAAACAGAATCATATACTAGAAAACAAAGGCATAGGGAAATCTCTAGGAACTCACCAAACATCATCAAACTTTGAAAACTTTGGAAATATTTTTATTAAAAAAATCTAAAATCTGACCATGTTTTTTGTTTTTCCTGTTTCTATTGTCAATATTGTTTTTTCTGCAGTTCTGGGATCACAACCACCTCATGCTAGGCACACATCCTACTGTGCCCCCAGTCCTCATTCATCTCTTCTGATTTGACAACTCTTCCCATGTAACTCATCAATAATAACTTATAAAACCTGAGTGCTTCTAACATGTCTTGCTTATAACATGAAAAATAAAATCTGTAATTTTTCAGGAGTCCTCTGGGAAATCTCAAAAATAGTTTTAAGTATAAAAAGTTGTCATTAAGGTTATGTTTGTTTTAGGATTTTGTTTAGAGAAGCGATAATCAAAAAGTTATCAGAAGAAACTTGGATACTTCATTTGGAGGTGATCAGGGCTGCTGAGAAGCTATGTACTTCATTACCTATTTCAACAAAATGACCATAAAACATTTTAGATATATAGATTTTAAGATGACTGAAATGTTTTAGCTTTTTTAAAAAGTGAGAAGCTTTTGTTCATTTTTTCAAATGTTCAATTCAACATCCAGCATAGAAAGCAGTCATGTAGACAAAGAACAGAAAAAGGAACCATTTATACTATAACTGAAGGCAAACAGCACACCAAAGACACAACAAATCAAAACTGAGCAATTTACTAAGATTTTAACACATTTCATAGCTTTTCAGACTCAATCATAAAAAGTCAAGGAAACCGCTGTATCTAGATCTCAGTTTCCCCAAGGACCACCAGAGAAACAAGTCCACTGTAAGTATAAGAGAAGTTTATTTCAGGTTCGAACCTGAACTCTTGTCTATCAAGGAAGCAAGAGCCCAGAGTTCAGGTTATAGCATAGGGTTCAAGGGGCTTGAAATCTTATTCTTTTTATTGGCTCATTTTTATAATTCCTGTTGATTCTATTGGCCTATAATTTTAACTTATTATTGGATATTATAAGATGTAATACTTTAAACTTATTGGCTATTATTTGGGCGTGGGCAGGGGTTTGCGCGGGAGATTTATCTTAGTCATCTAACTGCCACAGCCGGTTTCACCATATTTTGACCTGGCTGCAGTTTCTGGAATAAACCGCCCAGTTGCGATTCCTGGAAACTTTTCAATTGCAATTCCTGAAAAACCTGGTTTTTGGTTAATCTATTCTTCAGCAATGGAAGGTTATTTGCAGAGTTTAAAGGTCAGTCCGAATAATGGAACGTCTAATCTGGCTTAGTTAAAACGGAGGGACTTTGGCCTCTTTTCGATTCCTCAGAAACTAAATTTTAATTTCCAGGTTTTGTCTTTGTTAGGCTTGTTTATATTCAGGAATAAACTGACACTTTAGGGCAGATCTCCTGTAAGGTCAGAACTAATATAATAACATTCAAATCCTTTTAACATGCAATGCATTGATTATTGCTGCTTCAAATGAATCAATAAATATGCATTTAAATAATTTCTTACTTTCAATTTCAAATAAATAAACAGTAGATATAACCCAGAAATACCAACCTCTTTGGAGTCTTAATACATTTAAAGAATGAAGAGTTCTGGAGATCAAACAAAACATCATCAACAATCAAAAACACGTGTTAACTGCTTTAAAAAAAAAACAAAACCAACTTTTTCTTCTAAAATAGATGCACATTGCAAGTGTATTTCTTTGAAACCTTTTCTCCAAGCAAAGCCTCAACCAATTATATTTCTTATAACTATTAATAACCAAAGTAACTTCTAATCCACATAGGAACTCGAGTGGATAATTACGATCTGGCACACATTCACATTTTAGTGGACTTACTCATGAATAGACATACAACTTTCTATAGCCACATGCATTCCTTCTCAAAACTCTCAAAGTGGCTGTGGGACGCGTTGGTGTGCGTTGGTTCGGAAAAGTGTGCGATTTTTTTCGCCTCGTTTTTCCCGTTTCTTTTCGCTTCTGTTTATAACTTCGCTTTAGGGCACAGTTATGGGGCGCAAGAAGAAGAAGCAGCTGAAGCCGTGGTGCTGGTATTGTAATAGAGATTTTGATGATGAGAAGATTCTTATACAGCATCAAAAAGCAAAGCATTTTAAATGCCATATATGCCATAAGAAATTGTATACAGGACCTGGTTTAGCTATTCATTGCATGCAGGTGCATAAAGAGACAATAGATGCTGTACCAAATGCAATACCTGGGAGAACGGACATAGAATTGGAAATATATGGAATGGAAGGCATTCCAGAAAAAGACATGGATGAAAGACGACGGCTTCTTGAACAGAAAACACAAGAAAGTCAAAAAAAGAAGCAACAAGATGATTCTGATGAATATGATGACGATGAATCTGCAGCCTCAACTTCATTTCAACCACAGCCTGTTCAGCCTCAGCAAGGTTATATCCCTCCAATAGCGCAGCCAGGTCTGCCACCTGTTCCAGGGGCACCAGGAATGCCTCCAGGCATACCTCCATTAATGCCAGGTGTTCCTCCTCTAATGCCAGGAATGCCACCGGTTATGCCAGGCATGCCACCTGGAATGATGCCGATGGGTGGAATGATGCCACCTGGACCAGGAATACCACCCCTCATGCCTGGTATGCCACCAGGTATGCCTCCCCCTGTCCCACGGCCTGGAATTCCTCCAATGACTCAGGCACAGGCTGTTTCAGCACCAGGTATTCTTAATAGACCACCTGCACCAGCAGCAACAGTACCTGCTCCACAGCCTCCAGTTACTAAGCCTCTTTTCCCCAGTGCTGGACAGGTAAGGTGAAATGGCTGAAAAGGAGTGCACTAACATTTTAAAGGTTAAGTGTAGCTGTTTTACGGA